ACCTGTATAATGTTGTCACCACCTGTATAATGTTGTCACCACCCACCTGTATAATGTTGTCACCACCTGTATAATGTTGTCACCACCTGTATAATGTTGTCACCACCTGTATAATGTTGTCACCACCTGTATAATGTTGTCACCACCTGTATAATGTTGTCACCACCTGTATAATGTTGTCACCACCTGTATAATGTTGTCACCACCTGTATAATGTTGTCACCTCTACAGTACTACCAACACTACATTACGTCACAGGATAAACAAACCAATGACTAAAATGAAACAAAAAAACAAGTGAATCAGATTAAATCCCAAACAAAGATGGCCGCCACCCCGCCATTTTGGATCACGTAAAAAAAACAACAACAAAAATGGCGGCTAAACTCACTTAAGACTATACCCAGAATCTGTAAGTATAATATCGATAAAAAATAAAAATTATTTCACCTAAATATTAACGAATCTAACACTATTTGAAGGGGGATTAGGTTAGGTTAGGATAGGTTACGATAGAATAGGATAGATTAGGATAGGCTCGACTAGGTTAGGATAGGAGAGACTAGACTAGGTTAGGATGGGTCAGGTTAGTTAGGTCAGATTAAGATAGGTTAGAGAGAGAGAGAGAGAGAGAGAGAGAGAGAGAGAAGGGGAGGGAGGAGGAACACGAATGATTACCGCGATAACAAGCCGAGATAGGGAGCCTAGTTAGACCACAGCCGCCACCAGCTGATAACAAGGTGACTCATACTACACCCTTGTTCAGGTTATTAATAGCACATCTCACTCCTCTCTATGTCACATCTCACTCCTCTCTATGTCATATCTCACTCCTCTCTATGTCACATCTCACTCCTCTCTCTATGTCACATCTCACTCCTCTCTCTGTGTCACATCTCACTCCTCTCTCTATGTCACATCTCACTCCTCTCTCTGTGTCACATCTCACTCCTCTCTATGTCACATCTCACTCCTCTCTCTATGTCATATCTCACTCCTCTCTATGTCACATCTCACTCCTCTCTCTATGTCACATCTCACTCCTCTCTCTATGTCACATCTCACTCCTCTCTCTATGTCACATCTCCTCTCTCTATGTCACATCTCACTCCTCTCTATGTCACATCTCACCTCTCTGTCATCTCACCTCTCTCTCACCTCACCTCTCTATGTCACATCTCACTCCTCTGTCACATCTCACCTCTATGTCACATCTCACCTCTCTGTCACATCTCACTCTCTATGTCACATCTCCTCCTCTCTGTCATCTCACTCTCACTGTCACATCTCACCCCTCTATGTCCATCTCACTCCTCACTGTCACATCTCACTCTCTGTCACATCTCACTCCTCTCTATGTCACATCTCACCCCCCACTCTGTCACATCACACACCCCACTGTCACATCTCACCCCCCACTAGTCACATCTCACCTCCTCTCTATGTCACACCACCTCTATGTCACATCTCACTCTCTGTCACATCTCACTCCTCTGTCACATTCATCTCTCTATGTCACATCTCACACCCCACTCTGTCATCTCACTCCAGATCTCACCCCACCTAGGCAGATCTCTCACCCCACTCTAGGGCAGATCTCACCACTCTAGGGCAGCCAGATCTCACCCCACCCTAGGGCAGATCTCACCCCACTCTAGGGCAGATCTCACCCCACTCTAGGGCAGATCTCACCCCACTCTAGGGCAGATCTCACCCCACTCTAGGGCAGATCTCACCCCACTCTAGGGCAGATCTCACCCCACTCACCTAACACAATAAACTTTAATTACCATTGTTATTGTTTTAATATGCAGAGAGTGGTCACCATCCCTCTCTCAATACAAACCCTTAGTAATAATAATTTACCTTTAAAACATCAATATACACCTGCCCACACCTGTAACCTGTCAAACACCTGTTACCAGCCAACACCTGTTACCTCTCAAACACCTGTTACCCGCCAACACCTGTTACCTGTTCACACCTGTTACCTGTCCACACCTGCAGTACCTCTAGTTTACTCACAATATAAACATTCAACCATAAATGCATTTAACTTTGGTACACATTTCAGTTAGAACAATTGACATATGTAAAATTATATACATGTACACTTCACTCATGTGGTGTACCCATTAATGTACTAAACACACATAACATTGTACATATCTCTCAGTAGGTATAGGAGCGCTGAGGCCACGTTAGTACAGTACCACGCACTTACACCAAGACTACTGTTAATGGCTGTGTTCTGAGTTATGAAGGTAAATAAATAAACCCGGTGACATATTGCTGCTAATGACAGGTGTGGTGGAGGGGGAAGTGTCATATTGGGAGTGTGGTGGTGTCATACTGGGGGTGTGGTAGAGGGTGTCATATTATAGTGAACACAGATACCATAACACGAGTGGCTACAAGTGTCCTAAGGCAACGATGATCGGCTCCCTGATGCGTTCTAGCAATGTGTTGATCGCCAGTGGGTGCGTTTTAGTCAGCGTGTTGTAAACAGTAAAAATTTATTCAAGTGAAGATTTTGGAGGGTAGAGTACGTTCAAAATAAAGCGTTCCAATGAAGTATAATCCGAATATCAACATGCCAGTGTGTGTTTAACAATAAGGCGTTCAAGCAAGCGTAACTGAATCCAGGGTGCGTTCCAGCCAGCTTCATACACCAAGGGGTTAATATTGTCAGGGCTTGAGGACACGTTCCGGCCGCAAACGTTTCCTTACACGTTTGTTGGCTCTGTGTGCGTTCTGGTGTTAATGAGGATGATACCTAGCGTTCATTAATAACAACAACAATAATAATAACACTAATAATAAAAATAACACTAAAAATAATAACATGAACGATAATAAAAATAACACTAAAAATAATAACATGAACGATAATAATAATAAAACTAATAATAATAATAACGATAATATACACACCTGTGGTTGACGAGACTAATTCACGTGACCTACACATCGGACAGGTACCTAACAACGTCACCAGCCGCTGATTCATTCATAACTACGGTGGTGATTCATTCATAACTACGGTGGTGATTCATTCATAACTACGGCGGTGATTCATTCGTAACTACGGTGGTGATTCATTATAACTACGGTGGTGATTCATTCGTAACTACGGTGGTGATTCATTATAACTACGGTGGTGATTCATTCGTAACTACGGTGGTGATTCATTCGTAACTACGGTGGTGATTCATTCGTAACTACGGTGGTGATTCATTCATAACTACGGCGGTGATTCATTCGTAACTACGGTGGTGATTCATTATAACTACGGTGATGATTTATTTGTAACTACGGTGGTGATTCATTATAACTACGGTGGTGATTCATTCGTAACTACGGTGGTGACTCATAACTACGTAACTACGGTGGTGATTCATTCGTAACTACGGTGGTGATTCATTCGTAACTACGGTGGTGATTCATTCATAACTACGGCGGTGATTCATTCGTAACTACGGTGGTGATTTATTTATAACTACGGCGGTGATTCATTTATAACTACGGCGGTGATTCATTTATAACTACGGCGGTGATTCATATGATTTTTATAACTACGGCGGTGATTCATTCGTAACTACGGTGGTGATTTATTTATAACTACGGCGGTGATTCATTTATAACTACGGCGGGGATTCATTTATAACTACGGTGGTGATTCATTTATAACTACGGGCGGGGATTCATTTATAACTACGGTGGATTCATTTATAACTACGGCGGTGATTCATTTATAACTACGGCGGTAATTCATTTATAACCACAGCGGTGATTCATTTATAACCACGGCGGTGATTCATTTAAAACTACGGCGGCAATTGATTTATAACTACGGCGGTGATTCATTTAAAACTACGGCGGCAATTCAGTTATAACTACGGCGGTGATTCATTTAAAACTACGGCGGTGAATCATACATAACTACGGCGGTGATTAATTTATAACTACGACGGTGAATCATACATAACTACGGCGGTGATTCATTTATAACAACGGCGGTGATTCATTTATAACTACAACGGTAATTCATTTATAACTACGGCGGTAATTCATTTATAACAACGGCGGTGATTCATTTATAACTACGACGGTAATTCATTTAAAACTACGGCGGTAATTCATTTATAACCACGGTGGTAATTCATTTATAACCACGGCGGTGATTCATTTATAACCACGGCGGTGATTCATTTATAACTACGGCGGTAATTCATTTATAACCACGGCGGTGATTCATTTATAACTACGGCGGCAATTCATTTATAACCACGGTGGTGATTCATTTATAACCACGGCGGTGATTCATTTATAACCACGGTGGTAATTCATTTATAACAACGGCGGTGATTCATTTATAACTACGACGGTAATTCATTTATAACCACGGCGGTGATTCATTTATAACTACGGCGGCAATTCATTTATAACAACGGCGGTGATTCATTTATAACTACGACGGTAATTCATTTATAACCACGGCGGTGATTCATTTATAACTACGACGGTGATTCATTTATAACTACGGCAGTGATTCATTTATAACTACGACGGTGATTCATTTATAACAACGGCGGTGATTCATTTATAACTACGGTGGTGATTCATTTATAACTACGACGGTGATTCATTTATAACAACGGTGGTGATTCATTTATAACTACGACGGTGATTCATTTATAACAACGGCGGTGATTCATTTATAACTACGACGGTGATTCATTTATAACTACGGTGGTGATTCATTTATAACTACGACGGTGGTTCATTTATAACTACGGCGCTGATTCGTACATAACTATATTATGACGTTACATTATGACGTCACAAGGAACAGTGTACACTATGACATCATACTGTACATTATGACGTCACAAGAACACTACATTATGACGTCACAAGGAACACTGTACACTATGACATCACACTGTATATTATGACGTCACACTGTACCATCATCAACTACACACAGCTGTACTCACCACAACATTGTAGCCTCCATTATACGCTCATGATCCTGTTGTAGGCGTAGAGGAGGGGTGAGGTAGAGAAGATGGTAGATTGTCGTCGGTGATAGTCCGTAGTAGTAATAGTCTTCTTGTAGTCGTAGTCTTGCTATATACACATACTTTAAGTCTTCATTCTTGTCTGCTGATGAATGACTTTCCTCACAAGCACCAAGAATGAGATGTTGCTCCGGCTCCTTGTGTGTGTACAGTTTCTGACTTTTGTTATTATTATTTTTTTTTCTTCTCTAAATTCTATGCTTATCTTCACTATAGGCAAGAACTAAAAAAAAAAAAAAAACCTCTAGCGCTAACATCTATCTCTATGCTGTAAAATAAGAGACATTATAAGTCCTACTCGTTCAATGTCATATATCTTACTTATTAAAAAACCTCCCAAATTCACATTAACCTCTGGTCTGATTCACTTTTCTCACACGTATGAGGATCCTTTTGAGTATTTTCACTGTTGTTGGTGGTAATTTTCAGTGGTGTCTGGTACCAGGAGAGCGGATGGAACACGATGGAATATTTTCATGGTTTGATGGCTCTTCCGTAGACAAAACTTATCGTTCCAAGCATTACCACAACGATATATAATTACCGCATAATATATACAAACAGAAATAACATTGTTTATATATGTACATTATCATTCCATACACACACACACACACTTTTATATTATCAATCTATCTTTTGCTTCTCCTGTCACATTATTCTCATCCTTCTCTCTTCCCCCCTTCTTTCCCTATTCCCCAAACGCTATGGGTGAGAGATATTCTACCCTGGGTGAGAGACATTCTACCCTGGGTGAGAGACATTCTACATTCTACCCACAGCTAGCACCCCCCATGGGCTAGGCACTAGGGGGTGGCACTCTGGCTAAGGCGATGGAAAGCTTGCCAGATTCCGTGGCACTTGGCACCCACAGACCCACACAGTCTTCCACAGCACCAACCACAGCAGCTACACCACCAACCACAGCAGCTACACCACCAACCACAACCGCTACTATCACCATTACCACACCAACCACACTATCACTGGATATCGCCCGACCTGCCACACAATCTTAACCACTGCCACAGTACACCTCCACCACAGTACATCTTCTCCTCCACCACAGTACACTACCACAGAACCACAGTACACTACCACACCACCACAGCACACCTTCACCACACCACCACAGTATACCTCCACAGCACCACAGTACACTACCACAGCACCGCAGTACACTACCACAGCACCACAGTACACCTCCACAGCACCACAGTACACTACCACAGCACCGCAGTACACTACCACAGCACCGCAGTACACTACCACAGCACCACAGTATACCTCCACAGCAGCGCAGTACACCTCCACAGCACCACAGTACACTACCACAACACAGCAGTACACTACCACAGTACAGCACCACAGAGGAAGCTTCACCACGGAGTCAATGAGTGGTGCTTGTCTCCTGGCCGACACATTCTTCTTCCCACCACATCACTTTTAAAAACTCTCGCCACACAATATATGCAAAAAATACATATTTTCAGCACACATATAACTCATTAACCACAATTTTCCACGTCCGGTGTAGTCAGGCGGCACTTGGCTTCTGAATATACACCACGAGTATATATTTGGCGAGGTTAAACGGTTAATACACTTGAAATACACAGACATACACTTATACGTAGCGGAGCGAGGGCGCGCACGTCCTCCCCCCACGGCAGTCTGGCCGACACTAGCTCAGCTAAGCGGTGTGTGTCGACCACCCCGGAGCATGGTGTGTCTGCCTCCTCGACCAGGTGACTGACGCAGGGAGAGAGAGAGGGAGGGAGCTTACCTTTACTCCCTCACTCCCTTCTTTACTCACCTGGTCATGATGAGAGGGAGGGAGTAAAGGTAAACTCCCTGCTTGTCAGTCACCTGTCAATGAAGAAGGCAGGGAGGGAACTAGTCTTTACTCCCTGGCTCTCCCTTCCATGGCCTGTGAGGGAGTTTATCATTGCCTCTTCCCTCCCTAAGTAACCTGGCTGTGAAAGAGTAAGGGGGAGAGAAAGTTTACCTTCTCCCATTCCCTCCCCTTCTCCTTCCTTCCCTCCCTCCCTCCCTCTCTTTCTTCCCTCCCTCCCTTTCTTCCCTCCCTCCCACTCCCTCCCTCCCTCCCTCCCTCCCTTGGTTGTCATACTGGACGTAAGGCAGATGTAAACATTGTGAATGAGTGAGTGAGTAACAACAAAACGGGACCACACACACACTTATCACTCAGCCATGAATTACATAAAAAGTTATCCTCAACGCTACAAGGAAACTGCACCCAAGATACAGCTAATGACGATCACCACCTAACCTAACGTAACCTTAACCTAACCTAACCTAACCTTAACCTAACCTAATCTTAACCTAACCTTAACCTAACGTAACCTTAACCTAACCTAACCTTAACCTAATCTTAACCTAACCTTAACCTAACCTAACCTAATCTTAACCTAACCTTAACCTAACCTAACCTTAACCTAATCTTAACCTAACCTTAACCTAACCTTAACCTAACCTAACCTTAACCTAACCCTTCTGATTACAAGGTCATCGTACTCAAAATATTAAATCATCGTACTTAACAGATGTGTCCCAGTAATGTCTTAATATGTCTAAATGATTCTATAATGTCTAAATATGTCTAAATATATCCAATGTCCACTAATTCATGTTTACGTTCTGTCCATTTGTCATTTATTTCAGTGGTGGAAATCTGTCCAGTGGAGGTGATTGGTTTTGTCCGGGTTTATTTTGTCCAGTGGAGGGGTATTTTGTCCAAGGGTGTTTTGTCCGGAGGTATTTTGTCCAAGTGTGTTTTGTCTAAGGTTATTTTGTCCAGTAGAGGTATTTAGTGTGGTGTAGGCAGCTGTGTTTATTGGTTGGACCGAGTGAGGGTTCCTGTTGCCAGGTGTATACCTACCTACCTCCTCCTCCTCCTCTTCCTCTTTTTCCTCCTCCTCTTCCTCTTCTTCCTCCTCCTCCTCCTCCTCTTCTTCCTCCTCCTCCTCCTATTCCTCTTTTTCCTCCTCCTCTTCTTCTTCCCCCTCCTCTTCCTCTTTCCCCTCCTCCTCCTCTTCTTCTTCCCCCTCCTCTTCCTCTTCTTCCCCCCTCCTCCTCTTCTTCCTCCTCCTCCTCCTCCTCCTCCTCCTCCTCTTCTTCCTCCTCCTCCTCCTATTCCTCTTTTCCTCCTCCTCTTCTTCTTCCCCCTCCTCTTCCTCTTCCCCCTCCTCCTCCTCTTCTTCTTCCCCCCTCCTCTTCCTCTTCTTCCTCCTCCTCCTCTTCCCCCTCCTCTTCCCTCTTCCTCCTCCTCCTCCTCTCTTCTTCCTCCTCCCTCCTCCCTATTCCTCTTTTTCCTCCTCCTCTTCTTCTTCCCCCTCCTCTTCCTCTTCCCCCTCCCTCCTCCTCTTCTTCTTCCCCCCCTCCCTCTTCCTCTTCTTCCTCCTCCTCCCTCTTCCCCTCCTCTTCCTCTTCCCCCTCCTCCTCTCTTCTTCTTCCCCCTCCACTTCCTCTTCTTCTTCCCCCCTCCTCTTCTCTTCCCCCTCCTCCTCCTCTTCTTCTTCCCCCCCCTCCACTTCCTCTTCTTCTTCCCCTCCTCTTCCTCTTCCCCTCCTCCTCCTCTTCTTCTTCCCCCTCCTCTTCCTCTTCTTCCTCCTCCTCCTCTTCCCCCTCCTCTTCCTCTTCCTCCTCCTCCTCCTCCTCTTCCTCCTCCTCCTCCTATTCCTCTTTTTCCTCCTCCTCTTCTTCTTCCCCCTCCTCTTCCTCTTCCCCCCTCCTCCTCCTCTTCTTCTTCCCCCTCCTCTTCCCTCTTCTTCCTCCTCCTCCTCTTCCCCCCTCACCTCCTCTTCCTCTTCCCCTCCTCCTCCTCTTATTCTTCCCCCTCCTCTTCCTCTTCTTCTTCCCTCTCCTCTTCCTCTTCCCCCCCCTCCTCCTCCTCTTCCTCCTCCTCTTCCCCTCCTCCTCTTCTTCCTCCTCCTCCTCCTCTTCCTCTTTTTCCTCCTCCTCTTCTTCTTCCCCCTCCTCTTCCTCTTTCCCCTCCTCCTCCTCTTCTTCTTCCCCCTCCTCTTCCTCTTCTTCCTCCTCCTCCTCTTCCCCCTCCTCTTCCTCTTCCTCCTCCTCCTCCTCCTCCTACTTCTACCTAGGCTTCTCCTCCATCTACCTGGGCTCTATCACCAGCTAACACCGGGTCCGGACTATCACCTGTACAGGATGGAGAGAGTGAGAGGTAGAGAACTTATCACCAGATCCGGCAGAGAGAGAGAGAGAGAGAGAGAGACAGAGAGAAAGAGACAGAGAGAGAGAGAAAGAGAGAGACAGAGAGACAGAGAGAGAGAGATTGAACATAATTACTTACATAAATGAACGTTCACTTAACCGGAAATTTGATAAACCGGACAATGCGTAATAACCGTAGTGATCTCGTTATAGACTGAACACATCCGGACGATAATGTCGAGATTAGTGTTGTCACTCGTTCGTTTCCCTTCACGATAACTTGACCTTTAGTGTTGGTGATGCTTGTAAGTACCTGCAGGTGGCTCGACACACACACGGCAGGACCTCACCAAGACATCTCAGTTGGTGAAGACAAGTGTAGTGATGATGAGACTCAACCAAGAGGATGAATGAACACACAGCCTCGGTGATTGATGACGTGTGTGTGTGTGTGTGTCTGTGTGTGTGTGTGTGTGTGTCATGAGGGATTCTCCAGGTCATCTTCTCAGTACCTCACTAGAGAGACTTAGTGAGGTAACTGTGTCCTGATATAATAATAATAACAATATAAGAGAAGCTCCACACTGTTACTACTGAGAGAATACTGGTAACACTGTACCGGTAACACTGTACCGGTAACACTGTACTGGTAACACTGTACCGGTAACACTGTACTGGTAACACTGTACCGGTAACACTGTACTGGTAACACTAAGCCAGAGACAGAGGGGACAAGACCATTACTCCAGCCAGTAGTGTGTGACACCTCAGACACGACCTACAGTACAATTACAGACTCTTGGGTGGTGTTAAGAGTGGGTAACCCCTCCACACACACACACGCGCACACACACACACACACACACACACACACACACACACACACACACACACAGGTATATATGGATGGCAGGCTCCCATAAGCTCCTATAATATTCTATCTTAAGCCTTCCTTCCCTGTCACCCTGACCGCCTCAAACTCACTAATTTTAAACACACACACACACACACACACCACTAGCACCCACACACACACACACACACCTAGCACCACACACACACCACTAGCACCACACACACACACACACACACCACTAGCACCACACACACACACACACACACCACTAGCACACACACACACACACACACACACACACCACTAGCACCACACACACAGACACACACACACCACTAGCACCACACACACACACACACACACACACCACTAGCACCACACACACACCACTAGCACACACACACACACACACATACACCACTAGCACCACACACACACACACACCAAACGCGTTAACATCCATACATACATACACGCAAACACACACATATAAACACATAAAAACCACATACACACTGACGACAATATGTGAGTCTATTTGTGTGTATTTTTATGTACACCTCCTCAAATACGCACATGAGCCAAGGTGTACACACCATTAAACGTACAGTGACTCAGTGTGTAGTATCTTATCTGATCTCGCTATCACTCTGCCTAGAAATTATCTGCAGTCTATACCTGTAGGTGATTCATCCACACACACACACACACACACACGCACACACACACACACACACACACACATATATACACACACACACACATATACACACACACACACATATACACACACACACACACTGTTACGCCGTCTCTTAATTTACTTTAATATCCAAGGTTCTCGGCGTAACCAAACAAAGAAAGTGAAGTAAATCAAAAGGGAATAAAAATAAATAAAGTAAACCTTTAAGAATTTAATTAAATTAAATACTAACACAATAAAGAGCCTCGTAGGCTGACACAACAAATTGATTCACTATCGAAACTTTTAAGACACAAATGATACTAAACATCGAAACATCAAAAGAACTGCTTTAAACATATAGAGTAAAAATAAAGCACTGGATTACGTTAACACTGCATAAATATATAAAATAACTAACACTGAAATTAACTATCGTGAAACAACACTGAATTACTTAAATGTAACTAAGCAAGCACTGATGGACACATAAGAGACATGAATAGGTACTCACATAGATATACCACATTGGTGGCGACAGGAACAACACAGGAATAAAATAAAGTATAAGTAACAGGTGACGGGTGTCACTCAAAAGAACGTGAACTGAATGACGAGAGGACTGGACTGAACTCCGTCTGCTGGTGGGGTACTATATATAAGGTCGGCTCCAGCCCGTGCGACACGTGGGTGAAACATGGGTCGTTTAACGATGCAGATGGTCGTTAGAGAAACAAAGAATGCTTGTTACAATACTAAATGAAGAAATAAGATGGGCTTAAACAAATAATGACAGTTAAAACCTTAACAGCACAGGGTAAGGTGACTAGATTATATAATAGTAAATATAACACATCATTACAGGAATAATATGGAACAACATTGAAGCATGTTATAAAACAATAATAGAAAAATACGACACGGTCGTAACAACACACACACACACACACACACACACACACACACACACTCACATATATATATATATATATATATATATATATATATATATATA